CCGCACACGAGGCCACGGCGAGGACCGGTCTGAAGCTGGTATTGGCAGCGCCCGTCGCCCGCACCACCACCTGGCGTCACGTCGCGCGCACGACCACCGCGACCGCCACCACCTCCAGCGCCGGGCCACCCAAGCGGGAGACGACCTACCCGCCTCTGCGGCTGCTGCTGCTACGACGGTTGTTGCTGCTGTTGCTGCTGCTATGGCGGCTGCTGGTCAAGCGAGGGAACCTGCTGCTGCTCGGCGGTGCTAGTCCCAGGGCCCTCGTCAGCACCCCTAGCGGGCGACCTGGCTCCACCACCTCCTCCACCCCAACCACCCCCACCACCACGCCTAGCCTTGGGGCAGTGGCCCCTTCCAGGACGGGCCTGTACTGTAGTGGCAGCCTCAGCCACTGCAGCAGAGCTGTCAGAGAAAGTGCACTGGGCGGGCGCACAACCCTGAAAGATAGAGATCGGCACCGTACAGCGGGACTGAGCGATAGAGCGCTGGCGGGTCTCTATGGCAGACATGGTGTCAACAAAGTCAGTGAGGGTGAGGTCTGTGGGGTGGGCACTAAGAAAGTGATCGCGGGCAGTGGCAAGGTGGTCAGGGAGGCGGGTGGCAAGCAGGTAGAGGGCATGCGGTAGAGGGGACTGAAACACACGTAGCTGGGCCTCAGTGCAGGCTGAGCGCCAGGTCGAGTCTAGCGTGCGCAAGTGGGCGGCTAGGTCAGCGACAGTGAGGAAAGACGCGAGATCAGGGAATTGTAGGGGTAAGATCAGGCGGCCTACGGAGGCAGAGGACGGGGTGGAATAGCGAGTATTGACAGCATCGAGGAACTCTTGTGCAGTCCTGATAGACCTAAAGCGAGGAAGCGCATGACTAATGGCAAGCTGTGCAACAGCGTCACGTGACAACCAGACCGAGCGGGCAAGGGCAGCAGCAGCAGCGGACTCTCGATCAGCAGACGTGGGGTCAGCGGGCAGCGGAGCGGGGGGGTCAGGACAGGGGAGCGCACCATCAAGGTGGACGGCCAAGGAGTGGCCGTCCTGCCGCTGACCTGTCAAGTGACGACGGAGGTCGACGAGCCACGTGTCGAACTCAATCGGCTGACCCTCCGCGTCAAATCGCAGCACAGAGTCCGCCATCAGGAGCGAGGCAGCTGCAGGGCAGTGCGGTGCAGTGCGGGGCAGTGCGGTGCAATACGGTGCAGAGGGGTGTAGTCCGGTATAGTGTGGTGCAGGGCAGTGCAGGCGGGCGTCAGGGCCTGGCGCGGAGAAGGGCGCGGGGCCGGGGACGAGGCGGGCGCGGGCCAGCGAACGGACGGGCGCGGGGCCGGAGACGAGGCGGAGGGGCCGCTAGGGGACGGGGCCGCGGGGCCGCTGGTCAACGTGGCCGAGGGGCCGCTAGGGGACGGAGCCGCAGTGCCGCTGGTCGACGAGGCCGAGGCGCCGCTAGGGGACGGGGCCGCGGGGCCGCTGGTTGACTGAGCCGAGGGGCCGCTAGGGGACGGGGCCACAGGACGTCACTGCCAAGAGCAGCCACACCCCAAACGGTCGGAGGGCAGGCAGGACCAGAGACCAGAGCGGTGGCGAAGTCCAGGCGGTGGGTAGCGGCAAAGTCGGTGACAGCAGCGACAAGAGCCGTCCCCTGCCACCGATCAAAGGCGCGCTGGCGATCACGCTCCCGCTCCTTGTTTTCTTTCGCCACGAGAGTGTCCTTGTGCGCTCGGATTCCGAGATGAGTGCGGATGCTGCCGACCTGCAGGTCGCGTCCGCCCTCGCTTTTCCTCCCGTATTTCATATTGCTGAAAACGTCCCCGTACTGCAGACATATTGCACACTGCAGTGACGGGCGACCATTCTTCATACGATGAAGGCGCAACCACAAGAAGCGACGGGACTAGTCATCGACGTAGCGGCGGTTGACGATGTCGTACTCCGTATCGAAATCGGTGATCGGGGTACTGCGAGGCAGAGGAGGAGGAGGCAGTGTTGCCATGGGGTTCAGAGTTTCCTTAGGTGATGGCGCAAAGGGGAGATGCTGCTGCGTGTATCCACCGCGCTTACGCTTGGCAGGTGCTGGAGACTCGGTAGCATGGCCCGAGGGACCTTCACCGGCGGATGCGCACGGCTGGGCGGCGGGAGCGTACCAAGACGTCTCGGGGGAGCTAGGCTCAAAAGGGTAGCTAAAGGTTGGCGTATCCGCATGGGGCAGCGAGACAGCAGGAGGCGACCCCCTCGCTGGCGTCATTTCTATGCGCGGTGACAGGACTGCACGAGGAGACCTCAATGGAGGGGGGGACTGCGAAGCACGGGAGACTTGCCTCGTACCTCCAGTAGATAGTGGTACGTCCATGGAAGGCTTGAGAGGAAAGATCCCCAGTATGCTAAGGCCGTCACGAGGACAGGTCTGAGGGGGTTCGTCGTCATTGTCGACTCTCATCTACTGCATCTGCTCGAGAAAGCTAGTGAGAGGGAGTTCTCCTAGGGAAGGGTGATAAAATGGGGTCTAGTTTGGGGGGGATAAAGAAGTCGATGGAAGGGATGGAGGGCCAGCTGTTGTCACCCAGCAGAGATTCCTCGTGCAGTCACGCGGGTCGCGTTCAAGCATGGGCTGTCGAAGTCCCATTTATGATGGAACTGAAAGGCTCGCACTGAGGGCGCGGTTCATGCGTCACATGCAACGAACTCTCGTCGGCTGGGACCAAGGCAATATTGCTGCCAAAGCGACCAATAGTGGGCCTAACAGAAGCTGACACAGGGACAGCTGGAGGGGAATATTCGACACCGCGGGCGGGGCAGGGTGGCAAACTGTCGCAGGTGGTAGCAATGTGGATGGCATTTGCTGATGGTGCGCGAGGAAAAAACGCCACGCGTAAAGCACTTGACTGTTTTGCATTAAGTGTAATTTTCGGGCCACCCTGACGTATCAGGGCTGGCCGGGCGCACACCCAGATTTAGCCAGGGTAAAAAGAAAGGAACACTTTCCACATCAGGGTTAAGTTCTTTCAAACCCTGAAAGATAAGACTAGTACAAAAAACGACCCTTAAAATCAGGGTAATCAGGGCATTTAATCAGGATATTTTGGGGCCTGGACGTGTTGGCCTCTGTGAAGGCCGAGCTGTTGAGGAGACACACCTACACTGACCTAGGAGAGGTGCGCCGCTACCTTGGCTTGCAGATCTCGAGGGACAGAGCAGCGCGCACCATCACTCTCACACAGTCACACTTGGTGCGCCAGGTTCTTCAGAGGTTCAGCCTTCAGTTCTCTTCCGCACAGCCCACCCCTCTGCCAGTATACCACAGACTCTCTGCTCCATTCCTGGAGGGGAGGCTGTAGAGCCTAGTGGTCCTTACGCAGAGCTGGTGGGTTGCCTCATGTACCTGATGACTTGCACTCGTCCAGATCTCGCATACCCTCTCAGCATCATGGCCTGCTTTGTGGCCTCCGACAGATTTCGACCACAGCACTGGTCAGCAGCTAAGAGGGTTTTGCGTTAGCTAGCAAGTACATCGGGCATGGGGCTAGTGCTGGGAGGACGCAGACCAGTGGTTCTTACTGGGCACACTGACGCTTCTTGGGCAGACGACGCCGAGAATCTCAGGTCCTCCCAGTGCGACTGCTTTAGCCTTGGTGCAGGTGCTGTCTTGTGGAGGTCTACCCGCTCGTTGTCTGTTGCCCAGTCTAGCTATGAGGCTGAGATCTACGCCAGTGCCATGGTGGCACAGGAGCTCTGATGGCTGACTTTCTTGCTCACAGACTTAGGTGAGCGGCCTAGCTCTGCCCCGGTCCTGTACGTTGACAATTGGGCCATGATCCTCCTGTGTCAGGAGCCCAGACTCAAGGGCAGAGCAAAGCACATCCAGCTGCGGTACTCCCTCCTGCGCAAGCTACAGCAGCGTCGCCAGGCCCACGTAGTACACTTGGCCTCCGATGCCAACACAGCTGATATCTTTACGAAGGCGCTTGCGCCTAAAGATCATCAGCGGCACTACGTACAGCTTGGTCTCGATCCTATAGCGCCTCATTTGCTAGGACCTTGATTGTGTATAGCTCATTATGTATCATCCTGACTGGCCTTGTGGCTTTCTCCCAGTGGCTGGACTAGTAGTGCCGCCCTGGTCTTGTTCTTGCCTTGTTTGTACTCTTTGACTGGACTTTAGACCCCTGCCTCAGAGGTTGGGCTAGTAGTGCCACCTTGAGCTGCTTGTCTCTCACTAGGCTCTATCCCTATCTATTCTAGGGGGTGTGTCAAACATATGTGTGTATGTTTAGTAGAATACATAGGGTCATGCTATATACCCGTGTATACTCTCATTCTACTCTAACTCTGAGAACAAGTCCATGTTAGAGTGACAAACTGAATGCTAGCAAGGGCAGACGGTGATATATGTGTCTGGGTTGTACACTCTAAGAGCACGACGAACCTGTCTAGCCTATAACTGGACATGCACAACAAAATGTATAAGTTAACACACTCCCGAGGCTAGATAGGGGGCAGTGCCTAGCAAGAGGCATGCAGCTCTGGGCAGCACTACTAGTCCAACCTCTAAGGCAGGGGTCCTAAGACCAATCAACAAGAGTACAAACTAAACAAGAGTAACTCAGGGCTGCACTACTAGCCCAACCACTGAGACAAGAGCCATAAGGCCAATCAAGAAAATTGTTACAGGATCGAATGACTAGAGGAAAGGTTGCACTATCGATAAGTACAAGGCGCTTTTATACTTCCAGAGTACATCAGGTAACCACGTTTATCTTATCCTAAGGAAATAGACCCTTCTAGAAGATAGAATCACCCTACGTATAGCCACGCGAGGCTATTGGCTTTAAGGGATTATGACAGGATTACGCTAGATATAGCACACCAGTACATCCCAAGCCTGGTCGGTGATATAATTATAATAGCAGGATAAACCAAAGGTTAATGGAAAATGGAGAATAGGAAATCAAATGAGATGGGATAAAAAGAGAAATGAAAGAGGAAGGAAATAAGAAAAGCGACAAGTGGTGTAACGGGGTCGTACTCTCACACTTCCCCCCCTCAAAGCTGGGTGGTTGACAAGGTAGTCATGCAGAGGACGACGGGCATTACCCATGTCGGACTCAGGTACCCAGCTGTCCTCAGAAGGATCATAACCCTTCCAACGGATGAGAAACTCCACGGTGCCATTCCGACGACGGCGGTGTGCAAGCACGGACTCGACCTCGTACTTGGGTTCATTCTGGACGAGGACGGGCGGCGGCGGTGGCAGTTGGCGTTCGACGAAGATTGTGTTTGGATCCCGATAGGGCTTCAGAAGTTGGACATGGAAGGCATTGTGAATCTTCCAGGTAGCTGGTAGGCGTAAGCGGAAGGTAAGAGGAGTAACCTGTGCTTCAACGAGAAAAGGCCCGCAGAAGCGAGGTCGAAGTTTAGATGGGAGGTGGCTGATGTCCAGGTTGCGGGTGTCAAGAAGCACCTGGTCTCCCACCGTGATGGTGTGGTCGTTGCGATGACGATCGGACTGGCGCTTTTGTTGCTGCTGAATGTCGAGAAGGCGCTTGTGGGTCCGATCCCAAAGCTGATGCATGGTTGTGATGAAATCATGCGCAGGTTGGACTGTAGCGGATGTTGTCAGTTTCTGTGGTGTGAGTGGGTGGCGTCCATAGCAGAGGAAGAACGGCGTTTGTCCAGTAGCGGCATGTGTAGCGTTGTTGTAAGCAAACTCTAGAACGGGCAGATGCAAGTCCCATTTGGAGATCTCGTCCTTGAAGGCTGCTCGGAGGAGTTGCTCAACAATTTGGTTGAGGCGCTCGGTCTGTCCTTCTGTCTGCGGATGGTAAGCGGATGACATGGCGAGTTTGGTCCCGAGTAGAGACATAAGTTCCTTCCAGAACTTGCTGGTGAACTTGGAGTCTCGGTCGGAGATGAGTGTGGTTGGAATTCCATGCTGTGAGATGATGTATCGAACGAATAGTTGTGCTGTCTCCTCGGTGCGTGCTGTCGTGTGTGTCGGAATGAAGTGTCCCATTTTGGAGAATTTGTCGATGACGACAAGGATTGCGTCATGTCCGCTGGTCGTAGGTGGTAACCCGGTGATGAAGTCCAGGCTAACCACCTGCCATGGCTGTTCTGGGACCGGAAGAGGCTGCAGTAGTCCCGCCTTTTTCTGCTTGCTGCTATTCATCCGTTGACATGTATCACACGAGGTGACAAACTTCTGAACATCCTCTGCCAAGTGGGGCCAGTAGTAGTGTTTTGCGATACTGGTCAGCGTCTTGTTGCTACCGAAGTGTCCGGCGTAGAGGACGTTGTGGTATTCTTCGAGTAGTAACTGGCGCAAAGGAGGGTAATTGGGTACCCAAATTTTTGTTGATCCTTTCTGGTACGCGATGTCACTGTCCCACTGTAGCAGATGTCGCTTTTCAGCCAAGGGGATTTTGGGGTCGATGGCGTACCCGTGTGTGAAGAGTCCCTTGAGTAGTGGATTCATCCCTTCGATCTGAATAGCGGCAACGTGTGCAGGTCGGCTGAGGGCGTCTGCTTTGTTTTGTGGCCGGGCTTGTACACGATGTCGTAGTGGAAGTGTGTCTCGAGGAAGTCGATCCACCGGACCTGCCGCCTGGAATATTTGAAGACACAACCCAACCTTTCCTTGAGTCATTCGATCCTGTGACACTTGGTTATCAGAGCTTTTCTCACTCGGCCGCGCTCAACAATGCAGCAGCAGCGGGAAAACCTGCCTCGAAAAACCGTCGGGGGCGACCAATTCGACACCGATTCTGGTAAGCACCAGCTCCGCGTTTTTTTGAATCACCCCCCCCCCCCCCCGCGCTTGTTTTGAACAGGATGGCAACCTTCGACAACGCCGAGGTTACCTAGCAGCTCTTCGCACGCATCGCAGCCCTTCAGGAGGAGATGCGAGCGGATCACGAAGCGTGGAGATACGAGTTCGAGCGAGTAACTCGACTCGACGGAGCGCAGCACGACTCGACAACGGCGACGACGCAGCAGTCACAACAGTTTCTCGAGGCTTTGAAACTACGCCCACCTGAGCCGTTCGATCCAAGCGATCGAAACTCCGACGCCCGCAGATGGATCGCCGGGATGGAGATTTACTTCGCAGCCGTCGGATGGAGCTCGCCAGTCTGGGACGGTCAACGTGTACTACTCGCGGCGACACTGATGCGAGGGCCGGCACTCGAGTGGATTGGTGGCAGCAGTACCTTCATCCACGGTGAAGCCATGTGGCAGCAGTTCCGCGCCGACCTGCTGAAACGCTTTGAGCCGATAAATTCCGGTTTCCTTGCCCGGGAAAAAAATCATCGACACCGACAGTTCGGGAGTGTAGCGCAGTACACGCAGCAGATGGTAGAATTTTATAACCGAATTCCCGACCTGACCGAAGGGGAAAAAGTACAGTCGTACCTCGCCGGGTTGAAGACCGAAGTCAAACGACAAGTGGCAGCGTCAAACTACGCGAGCTACAGTGACGTCGTATCGGCCGCGGAACGCTTCGACATGGTCAACGCCGAGACACGACAGACGCACGTCGGCAGTACGCGACAGGGCGACCGCTCGGCTCACCCCACGTTCGCCGACCCAATGGAAGTCGGCAGGTTCGAGGGGCGGCCACGTCCGAAAAAAACCAACTACACGTGTGATTTTTGCGGGGTGCCGGGACATCGAATCTTCGACTGCAACAAAATGAAAGCCGCACGCGCAGAGTATCGGGCACGCAACAGTGGCGGAAATCCTTCGGCCAATCAGAAGACAAAAAACGGGAGTCGCCAGTGATTGCGGATCTAGCTGGCGAAAATAAAAAGATCCGGAAGCGGCCGCGGAATTCAGGAAAAATCAACTTCGACGAAGCCGATTCGATGCGAGAAGGAGGAAATGATGGGGGAAAATATCCACCCCACGACCAGTCTTCGCCAGGGAAAATCGCCGAGAAAAAATACGACTCCGCGAAAAAAGACTCTGCCGAGACGGGGAAACTTCTTGAAGACCCAAGAAATTATAAGGATTCGTTAAAGCTATCCTATAAAGGTGCTTTAATGAAAACTTATGATTCTCGAGGGGCTAGAGCCTTGGAGAAAATTTGGGAAGGACTCCAAAAGAAGCAGACACCTGTGGAGATTATACCGGTACCGGACAACTTGGGGGAAAAATGAAGGAGTGTGGAAAGAAGCCGACCTTTCCACGGAGTCAACGTCCTCTCCCGACACTAGCCCACAACGACCACCCGTTCCCCAGGGAAGACGTCGGTGGAGCTGAAGCAGCTGAAGAGGAAGCTGGGGGTCTACAAGAAGCTGCAAAAACCCCGAAATCCTTCGTCTACGGATGCATCCAGTTCAGCAACTTCGGCATCAAGGACGCGCACAGTCGTCAAGGAAACTCCGGGCCCTGGAGAAGAACCGTTCTCCAAGCAGCCTCGGCCAGCTGCCAGCTCAGGAGTAGATAGCAACACAAAGGTGTGTACGGAATATTGGGATGTACCCTATGACCCAATCAATGAGACTATCTTTGGGTACTCCGAGCAACTCCTGCCCCTCGTGCTCGAGGTCATCTGCAAAGAACGACGCCTCCAAGCACTCGTGGACCGCGGAGCATCACACACCGTCTGCGACAAGGCAGTAATCGACCGACTTCGGGAAGAGTACAAGCCTTAAGGATTCTCTGCAACGATGGTGGACGGCAGCAAGTTACCAGTGCACGGCGAAGCAGTGTTACACCTACAAATCGGACCACTGCGCTGGAGACCTGCACTCCCCATCACCAACATCAACGGGCTTGACTTGATCTTCGGGCGAGACTTCCTGAAAAGATTCAACCCCGAGATCAACTGGGTGAACTGCACCGCAAGCATCTACAACAATGGACTGAGAGTACAGCTACCCAACTGGGACGATACAGGAGATATCCCAGTGGAGACACTCGCACGATTCGAGAAGGACGTGAAGCGAACCGATACCGGGTTCCTGGCGATAGCAACAGAGGTGGAGAACGACGGAGAGAAGACCTCGGAACCTCCGGAAAAAATCAAGGAATTGCTGAAGGAGTTCCAAGACATTCTCTCTGACGATCTTCCGAACGAGCTACCGCCATACCGAACGCACCAACACGAAATCATGGAGGAACCAGGTTCGAAACCGACCTTCCGAGCACCATATCGGCTAAGCCCCACAGAACTAGCTGACATGAAGAAACACATCGAGTATCTTCTCGCCAAAGGACTCATCCGACCATCTACTTCGCCATACGGTGCCCCAGTGCTCTTCACACCGAAACCGGACGGAAGCCTGCGCATGTGCATCGACTACCGAGCTCTTAACAAGCAGACAATCAAGAATAAATATCTGATACCGCGAATCGATGACCTGCTTGACCAGCTTCGGGGAGCTACGCTATTTTCCAAACTGGATCTACGGTCCGGATACTGGCAAATACGGATGGCGGACAACTCTATCCACAAAACTGCTTTCCGAACTCGGTATGGATCGTACGAGTATTTGGTAATGTCGTTCGGACTCACCAACGCACCGGCAACATTCCAAGCCGAAATGAACCACATTCTACGACCACTTTTTGACGAGTGCGTCGTGGTGTACCTGGACGACATCCTCATCTACTCCCGCGACATGAAGCAGCACGTCGAACACCTGCGACGCGTCTTCGAAATTCTTCGACGAGAACGATTCTTCGTCAAACTGTCCAAGAGCGAATTCGCCATTGAGAAGGTCTAGTTCCTATGACACATGGTGAGCGCTCAAGGAGTTCACGTCGACCCCAAGAAAATCGAAGCCGTACGTACGTGGATGACACCCGAGAACGTGAAGGAGTTGAAGCAGTTCCTAGGCTTCGCTAATTATTACAACAGGTTCGTGCCACAGTATGCGAAACTCGCAGCACCACTCACGAATCTGCTGAAGAAGAACACACCCTACAAATGGGAGATGAAGCACAAGGAAGCCGTGGAGCAGCTGAAACAAGCACTAACATCTGCACCAGTACTAATCTTGCCAGACCCCGAACGCGACTACGTCATCGAAGCTGACGCCAGCGACCAGGCAGTGGGAGCAGTCTTAATGCAAGACCAAGGAAATGGACTGCAACCAATCGCCTACCTCAGCAAAAAACTGCACGGGGCAGAACTAAACTACCCGATACACGACAAAGAGGCCCTTGCCATCGTCATCCCCTTCAAAGCGTGGAGATGTTATCTCGAAGGACGAAGAACAATTGTCTACACCGACCAGTGCAGCCTTAAATATTTGAAGACACAACCCAACCTTTCCTCGAGTCATTCGATCCTGTGACAAAAATAGTAGTACACAAGTCAAGGTCCTAGCAAGTGAGGAGCTACTGGAACTAGACTAAGGTGTACGGAGTGCTGTTGATGATCTTTAGGCGCAAGCGCCCTAGTAAAGATATCAGCTGTTTTGGCACTGGAGGCTGAGTGTACTACGCGTGCCTGGCCGCGCTATTGTAGCTCGTACAGGAGGAAGTACCGCAGCTGGATGTGCTTTGCTCTGCCCTCTAGTCGAGGCTCCTTACACAGGAGAATCATGAACCTGTTGTCCGCGTACAGTCCGGGGCAGAGCCAGGCTGCTCACCTAAGTCAGTGAGCAAGAACGTCAGTCAGTGGAGCTCCTGTGCTACCATGGCACCAGCGTAGATCCAGTCTTCACAGATAGACTGTGCAACAGACGACGAGCGGGTGGACGTCCGTGAGATGGCGCCTGCACCAAGGCTAAAAAAGTAGCCCTGGAGGACCTTAGCATTTTAGGGTCGTGCGCTCACGAAGCATCTGTGTGCCCTGTGAGAACCACTGGCCGCGTCCTTCGAGCACTAGCCACTTCTTAGCAGCCAACCAATTGGGGTCAGTGTCTACCTGTCGCAACAAAGCGTGCGAGGATACTAAGAGGGTATGCGAAATTTGGACGAGTGCAAGTCATCAGGTACGTAAGGCAGCCCACAAGCTCTGCATACTGACCACTTGGCTCGACCGGCTCATCAGGAACTCGAGCCGAGAGCTTGTGATCCACTGGCAGAGGGGTGGACTGTGCGGAGGAGAAGGCCGAACCTCTGAAGAACCTGGCGTACCAAGCGTGACTGTGTGAGAGTGATGGTGAGCCCTGCTCTGTCCCTTGATATCTGCTGACCAAGGTAGTGGCGCAGCTCTCCTAGGTCAGTGCAGGTGTGTCTCCTCAGTAGCTCCCCTAGGTCAATGCGTCTCTGTCAGGAGTAACGAAGACCAAGTTGTCTACGTAGACTAGGATGTAGAACAAAGTCTGGCCTGAGCGAACGAAGAGAGACGGTTCAGCAGAGGACGGAAAGAACTGGAGGTATGCTAGTGTATCGCACAGCATGACGTGCCACGCACAGGGCGCCTGCCGTAGACCATAGACCGGGCGCCGGAGGAACCACTAGGTCCTAGGAGGGAAAGTGACCGAGAAGCCTGGCGGGCGACGCATGTAGATCTGCTTGTGCAGACTGCCCTGGACAAACGTCGTGGAGAAGTCAAGCGAATCAAACTCGTAGTCGCGCTGTGCTGCTATGTGAAGCAGCGCCCAAAGAGTGGTCAACTTCGGGGTCGGGGCAAAGGTCTGGAAGAAATCAACACCCTCACGCTGACTGAAGCCTCTAGCACGGTAGTGTGCCTTGAACACCGGCGGCTCTCTAGGAGGGCGCTTCACCTTGATGATCCACCAGCCATCGACAACGCTCGCCCCAGGTAGGGGAACTACGTCGACGCATGTGCCGGTGGATCTCCAAGGTGCCATCACTGCGTCCATGGCAGCTATCCAATGAGAGGCCCAGGGTCCCAAAGTCGTCTCAGCGTAGGTGCGAGGGGTCGGGATGTCAAGAGCATCTGGGTCACACTAATGGCCTAGCAACATGTAGCGGAGATGAGGAGCCGCGTAGGATAGGAAAGCTAGCGCGTAGTGTCTTTCCTCTACGATGTCACTGCCAAGGGCAGGTGCACCCCCGAGGACGGGCAAGGCTAGAGACCAGAGCAGTGGCGTAGTTAAGGTGGCGGGTAGAGGCAAAGTCAGCGACAAGAGCCGAGAGAGTGGAGACAGGAACGGACGGGTCGGTAACAAGAGAGGCGAGGACACGAGGAACTAGAGGGCAAGCACAGAGAAAGTAAGAGAAATGAGGCCGAGAGACAGCGAGAGACGACGGAGGAGGCGATAGGAGAACAAGAGCGGGAGGAGCACAAGACGCGTGAGAACGCAGAGACATAGGGTGGACACTCAAAGCGGGAGAGACAGGATGAGCACGAGAGGGACGGTGAGACCACTAACGAGAGGGGGGGGTGGGGTCAGGAGACAACGGAGGAGACACAGGAGGACACCGAGGGGGGAAACGAGCCGGGAACGAGTCTGACGAAGGGAACACAGTGTCGTAGACAGGCGGAGGAGGCTGTGAGAGGATGAGGCTTGCCGAATCCTTGATCACGACCATTTGCTATTTGCTTTATATTGTGTGGCATTTTGTGTGTTTTTCCTTTCTTGGAAATCCCTACACTCTATCTTAAACATTGATATATTTTACATATATCATATGTGTTACGGAGTGTTTCGGACTTTCCTTGCGTGACACATTTTCTATTGCGTGAAGTGTTCCGTCACCATCACTGTATCTTTAGAATCCCTACCGTGCTTCTAGGTGGTGTTTCTAGGGACAGTTCCACTCATATCTAGAGCTCTCTTAGAAGGTCCTAGTTTTCCTTCCCTAGAGTTCTCGTAAGTATAAATAGGATTGTGTCTTTGCTTTTATTCATTCAATTCTTGATTGGTATCATTCAAGCTTCTGCTAAAACTTGGACCTATGACACTTGGTAATAAGAGCACAAGGTTTCCGATCAGCGCTTTCTTGCTAGGCCTCTAGGAGCATGTCGAGGAAGGAGTCAAACTTTTCGATCGCGTAAGTAAATTCATTTTTACTTACTAAGTTTTGACTAACCTTGAGCAGTTGCACCTAGGGTCCCCATCAATGGCAAGTAGCATCGGCAACCGTTCGATTTTCAGCATCGACGAAGCCGATTTTTTGGGGGGGGGGAGAGGGGGGTATACGTTAGCAACCCGCGCCAATGAGAAGACGCCCCCGAAGTACCTGCATTAAAATCTGGAGTATTTTATGCCCTCCGAAGCGATCGACGGTAGCTGGTGGAACTCACCCTACGGCGTTTTCTAAGAATTCCCAACTTCGCCACGAATCTTGGAGTTGTGCCAGATACGATCTACGACTGCCATCTGATTCGACTTTGACACTTCAGATCGTCTGAGGCAAAACAAACCTGAGCTGATGGAGTTCAAGTTTCAGCGCGTATGGAAACAGCACCTCGATAGCAGCGGATTGTTCGTGCACGTCCGATCATTCGACAACGATTATCGATGTCTACGAATTCCCGGAGGAAACGAGTTGACCCCGACATTCGACCCAGCTGATCAAGCCTCAAGAATATTTTGTGATCGCTTGGAGTTTGGACCGTCGGATCAACATTCAACCAGCGGACCAGATGGAGCGTAAGTTTCTTCAGTACAACAAACTAAGGAGGACACGAGGAGCTGTGCGGGCGGTGAGCTTGTCCGCACCAGAGCTGTGGACGTGAGCAACGCAACCCCAGATGTAAAACGCAGATGCCTCACCAGGGGACCCGTTCCAGAGAAGGGTCGGCGAAACCTGCAGGTGTGAAGAGCGGGGCCACATGTTAAGCTGGTGAGCGGCGTCGCGAACTGCAAACGGCCACAGAAAATGGGGTGCACCGGCATGAATCATGAAGGTACAAGCCACCTCCATGACCAAACCGATGCGTCACTCAGCGACCCCATTGTGCTGTGGGGAGTCCGGCAAGGTGTACGACTGGGTGATGCCCCCCGCATGACAGAATTGGTCAAGTTGACCTGATGCAAAGCACTGGCTGGGCGCGGTGGACTCGAGCAGCCACAAACCACAGGATAAGAACGTCAGGCACATCAGCCTTTTGCTCCAGGGGAAACACCGTGGTGTAGCGCGTCCAGTCGTCTACGAGAACCAGAAAGTAGCACTCGTGGCACGGCCCAGGGATGGGGGCTGGGCCCCATACATCCAGGTGCAGGGAATGTAGTGGCTCAGTGGTGGGGGAAACGAGGAGTGAGGAGCATGGCGCAGCCGGCCCTCGATGCAAGGCTTGCACAGAGGCACCGGCGAGGGAGGGAGGGCAAGGAGCAATGCAGGGAGACCTAAGGCAAGACCGTGCTGAGACATGTGACGTAGACACGGGAGTGCTGGGTGACCTAGGCAGTGGTGCCACAGAAGTGACGAGTGAGTGGGCGACCAACACGAGCACGCCGCAGGTAGACGTAGCCACCTGGGGGGACGCGGTGTCTAGCATGAACTGGCCAGACACTAGGTCCCGGGGGAATGTGGTGAGGGGGGCACCAATGGCGGCCTCGGTATAGTCTGCATACCGCTCATATCCAGGAAACGTAGGGGTGACGCCGAGGTCCTGAAGACAGCCGACACCAACTAGGTTCCTGGAGAACGAGGGGATGTGCAGACATGTAAGGGAGCCTAAAGGAACCGCCGGCACACGATGGCGTACCAGGCTGTGCCAGTCCGGAAGGGACGACGTGGGCCCGAAACGGACACGAAAGAGGTTGTCGAGGTGGCGGTAGTAGCGGGCAGCAGTGTGACCGGGATGGTCGCACACGGTGCCACAAAGGGGACCAGACTAGATCTGGTACTGGCAACTCACAGAGCTGGAGCCTCCACCCGACGTCGAGCTGCGAGGGCAACAACCGCGCCCCCCACCACCGAAGCCGCCTGGCCACCACGGCGGCAGGGCCTTCCACTGCTACTGCTGCTGCCGCTGCCTCTGCTGCTACTGCTAAGCAGCAGAGGGAGCAGCAGTGGGAGTAACAGAGGGAACAATGGCAGCAGAAGCGAAAACCCCAGAGTCGAGATAGGTGCACCACCTTTCCGAGCTCTGAGCAGCTAGGGGCCCTCTCCTAGCAGAGGCACCTGAGGAGGAGTATCAGCAGAAGACACTGAGCGGGGCACCACCAACCCTCCTCAATAACCCTGACCTAACGCACCAACAGCTGAAGAATGGGGCAAAGGCTCGAGGCTTCCCTGTTTCCGCAATCCCTCTATAGGACGATGGCGTCTGAACCACGAGGAATGGTACGGCGGAGGAGATTATGAGGATGACGAAGGTGAAAGGGGGAAAATCGCACCAGACGCGTACCTTCACCTTGGTCGCCCTCCTCAAGCCCTTGGAAACTTGGGCACAGTACGATGAAATCCCTGATGAGGAAAACACTCTACTCTGGAGAAGCTGCTATGAATCTCCAC